GAACTGCCGATCTTTTGGTTAGCAGCTGAGCTCTTTAACCACTACGCCACCAGAGCCCCACATCACCCAAAGGAGGGAGGAAATGGAAGCAGGAGCAGGATCCACCCTGAGCTGAGGGACACCTGGGGTGAGCAACTGTTCCGGTTTACCTGGGACACAGAACTTTTGCTTTTAAAACCGGGACAGTTGGTCACCCCAGGGGCACCAAAGGGGAAGTCCACTTCTCCCCATCTTCAAAGCTGAAACAGCGGAAGCCCCATGGCTGCTGGGTTTCCTGAAGGGATACACACACAATAGACGGTTACAGATCACAGCTGATGTCAAACAGGAGCCCAGGTCAAGAGCCAGCCTGGTAAGGCCTTCTGGGGCATGAAGAATCAGCCCAGACAAAGCCAGAGTCATTCTAGGGCTTTGTACTCAGTAGAGGAGGCAGGATTCCAGCCAGCCTTGAGGGCCACTCTCAGCATTCAAACTGTCCTGCCATGGGGTCCTGGTGGCGCAGTGGTTAAGAGCTCAGCTGCTAACCAAAAGGTTGGCAGTTTGAATCCACCAGCCACTCCTTGGAAGTCCTATGGGGGGCAGTTCTACTCTGTCCTATATAGGGTCACTGTGAGTCAGAATCGATTCGATGGCAATGGGTTTGGTTTTATTTTTTTTTTGCCTGACCAAGGCTGGAGAGGCCCCTGGGTTAAGAGGGGCGGGGCCTATATCGGTTGCCCTCTGACCTCAAGCACAGCAGGATGCTTAGGGCTGAAGTGCCCATGGAATTTCAGGACAAGTAGGTCACTCCCTTGAAAACAGGACCAACAAACTCCGTCCCTGGAACCTGCCCTTCATCCATGGTCTGGACAGTGAGGAAAGAGTGTGCCCCAAAGCCTGGCCTCCTGAGGCTGAAACAGGTACTCTCTTCCCCTCTCTGCCCCGTGCCAGGGGTAAAACTCTAGTCCTTGCTTAAGACAGTGGAAGGATAAATCCATCAGACAGCTGAGCCCTTCATCCCTCACCCATTACCGTCCTCTCTGCCTTCTTCCCGATTCTTGCCTCTCCTCAAATCACACCCACAGGGTTACGGTGGAAATCCCGAGTCACTCCAGGTAGCACATTACCTGGTTCCCTTCGCTTTGTAGCGCTTAGCACTCGCTAAAATTCTCTTACTCTGTCTTTAAACCAACAAACCAAACCCACTGCCGTTGAGTCAATTCTGACTCATAGTGACCCTATAGGACAGAGCAGAGCTGCCCCACAGGGTTTCCAAGGCTGTAATCTTTACGGAAGCAGACTCCCACAGAACGGCTGGTGGGTTCGAACTGCTGACCTTTCAGTTAGCAGCTGAGTGCTTTAACCACTGCACCACCAGACCAAACCCATTGCAGTTGAGTCGATTCTGACTCGCAGTGACCCCCCAGGACAGAGCAGAACTACCCTATAGGGTTTCCAAGGAGCAGCTGGTGGATTTGAATCATCAACCTTTCGGTTAGCAGCCGAGCTCTTAACCACTGCGCCACCAGGGCTCCGCTCTGTCTTTATCTGCTTGCCTACTGCCTGTCTCACCCTACTAGAATGCTGTCTCCTTCAGGACAGGGACTCCAGCTGTACTGATCACTGAATGAATGCAGAAATGAACGAATGACTTCCCCACTTAGCTCCGACAGACACACTTCCTAGCAGGAGGCAGCATGATGGTTAAGAAGAGTTCTGAGGGCTGCCTGGGTTCAAATCCTGCCCAACCTTAGCCGATTTACTTAACCTGTCTGCACCTTGGTTGTCGGGAGTGTAAAATAGGGTGCTGAGGGGGCTATGGGAGAACGTGGGTAGAGCACCGGCTAGTCTACGTCTTCTCCATCATGACCTCTTGCCCTTCAGCTCACTCGGATCACCCCTGTGTGAGCCCTTGAAGACTAGACCCAAAGTGCCTGACTTAAAAATCCCAGCAGTTACCAGCTGTGTGGCCCTGTACAAGTCACTGTAACCTCTTTGAGCCTGTTTCCTCCCCCCGTGAAGTGACAATGCAATCACCGTGTGGCCTGAACGAGTTAATCCACCTAAAGCACTTAGCACCCAGTCCACAGGAGACCCTTCCTAAGTTTTTCCTGCTAATTAATATAATTGGAGGTGACATTAGTATTATTGTAGCACCACTGTCTCTCTTAGGAGCACTGGTGGCGCAGTGGTTAAGAACTCAGCTGCTAACCAAAAGGTCGGCAGTTCAAATGCACCAGCCGCTCCTTAGAAACCCTATGGGGCAGTTCTACTCTGTCCTATAGGGTCGCTATGAGGCAGAATCGACTCGACCGGGGCAGGTTTGGTTTTTTATTTTTTGGTTTGTGTTTACCTTGGCTGGGTCTCCTACCAGAATGTGAGTTCCCTAAGGGAGGCGATTTGATGGTTTGGTTATTGCTGTATCCCCAGGGCCCACAACAGCGCCTGATATGTGTTAGGTACTCAATAAATCTTTGTGGTTTAGGAAAGGAGCGGAAAGGAATGTCCCGTCAGACACCAGCACTCGAGTGCCCACGGGCTGGCCATAAGGGAGCCAGCACACCAGCGAAGCGAGCCCCATCCCTGTCCCCTAGCCTGTCCCCAGCCCTGCCCAGCGTACTTCCTGTAATGGTGATCCTCCGGCCCTGGTAGTAGTCACCCAGGGTCACGGCGTTGCCCTGCTTGGTAGCCACAACCCGGACGGTGCGCACGCTGTCATCACACGTCACGTAGGGGTTGTAGCCCGAGTTAACACTTGCCACCTGCGCGTTGAGCTGGTTGTCGACGCTGGCCGGGGAGAAAGCGTCAGCGATGCGGTCCCGGCAGAAAGACTTGTACTTCCAGATCACAATGGGCGCTGAGACAGTCGAGGCCACCTGGTAGGTGCAGGGCAGGGTCACAGGCTGGAAGAGGATCACTACGTGGAAGGGGTCTGACACGGTCACCTGGATGGCGCTGGCAGGAGCTGAGGGCAAGAGGACAGTCAGTGAGGACCGCTGTGGGCCGCCTCGAGGAGGCCACAGCAACAGCTCAAAGAACGCTTCAGCAGGAATGAGCAACCTCACCTGTCACTGGCCTGACACTTAAAAGTGTGTGTTTTCACAGAGCGCCTGGCACACACTGTTCCTTAATCCCCGGGACCAGTGAAGTAGGTGTGACAATCATGCCCGTTTTACAGATCCACAGGGCTCAAATGGCAGGTGCAATGTCACACGCCAGATTCCTCAGAGGGACTCCTTGGAACATCCTGTCCAACCCTCTTCCCTTTGCCAGTCTCCCTCTGTGGCCTGTACCAGCAAGCCCAAATGGTCGCTGCCATGCCCCCAGTGCCCAAGGCCCCACTTTAGAGCGAACTGCCAAGGGCTCCAAGTTGCCCTGGGCTTTTGTGAATTTAGGGGACAGTTTTTTGAATTGTTTGACTGAAGTGCTGTGCCGTGGTTGGCCGAGACCCCCGCGATATCTCCATCTGCCTCTCGTCTGCCCCTACCCAAAGCCATCTCAAATGAATTCGCCAAAAGTGCTTGTGGCAAGATAAAGCCCTGCCCCGCCTCCACCCGAACAAACATCTCATCCAGGTATAAGTTGCCAGCAGAAGGTGGTTTCACAGAAGCCCCTATTTCCATTCCCATCAGATACTCTGGAGCCCGCGGGAGGTGAGTGGGACAGGAGGCGTGGAGTCCTCAGCTCTGCACCCACCAGAGGCCTGGGCGCTGTTTGTTAATTTCTCATTCCTGGAAGCGTCTGTTCCAGCCCTCGAGTGCCCTCTCCCCGTTACTCCAAGACTTAGAAATCCTGGGGTGCGCCCAAGTCCCCTTCCCAGCCTTTTCCAGTGATCGGGCAATCCCCCCTCCTACTCCACAAAGGATTCCATTCTCCCTACCGCTCCCGGGATCACGGTCCAGAGAGTTTCACTTCCTGTATCTCAGGACAAGGGCGGAGAGCACCCCCCCCCCCCGCATGGACGAGGAATTCCCCATCCCGACACACGCGGGGTCTCCCGGAGACAAAGCCGGGAGCTCCCAGTCTCTTCGCTCCCCCCGCGCCCCGCCAAGCTCTCCCGCCTCCTGGGCCGCGCAGAACTCTATCCAGCCGCCTTCCGTTGTGCCCTCTCGCCGCTCCGCGCCACCAGGGTCCGCTACCCCTACCCCGTACCTGTACACCAGGTGCCGAGAAACAGGCAGACCAGTGCCCCCCGGCCCAAGGCGGCCGGCTGGGAGCCCAGCCTCCGGGAGAGGCCGCGGGCCTTCAGCGCCATCACCGCCGTCTAGGCGCTACGGTCCCGCGCGTCCCCTCCCAGGTACCGGGCGGGTAGGGGGCGCGGCGCGTACCAAGGCTGGGAGGAGTGCACGCTCCTCCCCTTCTCGCTTCCGCCCCTTGTCCAGATCCCAACTCCACCCCGCCGCATTTCAGGAGTTTTATGAGAGCAAACAACGTGGATGAAGCGCACACTTTTAGCTTTGGAGGAGAAACCTGCTTGACCCACTGTGAGTCTCCGAACACCCCTTCCCCCCTGCGCGTTCTGGGGAATGGATCTGCCCAGGTATACGCTGGGGTGGGAGCCTAGGGCCGGGCTTGGGGGTGAGCGTCAGGGAGGGGCTCCTCCGCCTCCCTCCCCGGAAGTGGGCTGGCCCAGGTGCGCCCAGCCTGGAGGGGCAGAACCAAGTGACCGGCCAGCCGGGAGGGCGCAGCACGCCTCGGGTCCTGATCGGCCGCCTCCGTCTCTGACCAAAGCCCAGTGGAGCGAGGTCCAGGAGAACTAGGACCCACTTGGGGTGATTCACCTGTTGAGAGGGGGCGAGTCCCGCCGCACACCTGTTCTCTCCCTGCCCACACCCCTTTCTCCGACTGGCGATGGACCGGCCTAGGTACACCCTGCGGGGAGAGGCCAGCAGTTTCGCCCGACTTTTCCACTAGCACTGGGATTCCTTCCACCTGGGTCGAGGGGGGCGCTGCGGGCCTCTCGTACCTCCCACTTAGATGACTTGAAGCCAGCTAAGGGAAGCGTTGCTCCCCTGGGGACGCCAGAAGGAAGGAGGCCTAAGAAAAGCTGGAACTCTCCGTCGAAAGTTTTCTCTGCGCACCCCCATTCCCTACACGTGGTTTGGCCCCGCGTTATCGCTGACTCCAGGTCAAAACCCACTGCCGTCGGGTCAGTTCTGACTCATAGCGATCCTATAGGACAGGGTAGAACTGCCCCATAGGGTTTCCAAGGCTGTACTCTTTATGGGATCAGATTGCCACATCTTTCTCCCACAGAGCGGCTGGTGGATTCCAACCGCTGGCCCTTCGGATAGCAGCCGAGCGCTTTAACCACCGCGACACCAGGGCCCTTTGGCTCCAGGTCAGGCCCCGGGAACTTTGGTTCTTAAAGAGGCAGAACGGAGGCGCCCGGCCAGGGACCCACTTCCGCCGAAAGATTTCCAGGGACTGGGCCACCTGCGCCCGAGCGTGGGGCGCGGCAACGGGAATGCGGAGCGTCAACGCGGCTCTGCTGACCCCCGGTGGCGGCTAAGGGAAGCGCCTTCTGGGAAACCTTGGGCTCTTCCTCTCCTTAGACTCCTGCAAGTCCAAGACTGGCTACTGGTCGGCTCGGAAACCAGACAAGGTTTGACTGGTAAAAGCCAAGTCAGATCACGCCCCTCTGGCCAAAGCCGTTCTGTAGTTCCTTCACTCCCAGCAGATACCAAAGTCCTTCCCGTGGCCTGCTCTTCCCCTCCGACCTCACCGCCTCCCGCTCTCCCCCTGGCTCTCGTCTTCATCAATAGAGGCCTTCTTGCTGCTCCCAAATACGCTTCTCACACTCCCACTTCAGGGCCTGAAACATCCTTCCCCCAGATGTCCACTTGATTCCCCACCTCCTTTAGGGCTAAGTAATGGCCATTGCGATGGTTGAGGTTCTCTAAGGATTCAGACTGCCGACCTTTTGGTTAGGGGCCGAGCTCTTAACCTCTGCGCCGCCAGGGTTCCCTTTCCACTGATTGGCTGTTCATAGCAGGTCTCATCATGGAGGTGATTACATACTGCCAAAGCACTGAGCATCATGGCCCAGCCAAGTTGACACATAACCTTAACAACCCCAGTCGTTTTTGCACTAACACCTTCCCCGGCGACTTTTTATAAAATTTCAACCCGTTCACAACCTTCCCCCCCATCCCAGTTTCTTCTGTCCCCTCGCTGCTTTACTTTTCTCTTTCGTGTTATCCCGCTATTCATTTTACATATGAACTTATTATTGAGTATCTCTCTTACAGCCTTCCGCAGGGCAGAGATTTTTCTATATTTACTGAATGCCCAGAATTTGGAATAATGTCTAAGAACATAGTAGGCATTCAGTAAAACTTCGTTAAACAAGTGATATCTCACATAATGTGAATTTTGACTTCTTTTGAAAAATCAGCCTGCCTTCTGCCCTGGCAACAGTGAGCTAGAATAGAATAGCACCCATTCCCTTCACAGGGTGCTCACAGGCCTCGTCTGAGCCAGCTCTCATCCACATCACTTGCCTGGCCCCTGCACTATTTAACTTTGCACCACCTCCCCCTCCCAAAAAACTTATCAGTGACTGTTATGAGTTGAATTGCGTCGCCCTAAAAGTTGTTGAAGTTCTCATCCTCAGTATCTGTGAATGGGACCTTATTCGAATATAGGATCTTTGCAGATGCAATCAAAGTAAGATGAGGTCATACTGGATTAGATAAATCAAACCAAGCCCATTGACGTTGAGCCCAACTCATGGTGACCCCATGTGTGTCAGAGTAGGGTTTTCTTGGCTGTAATTTTTCTGGAAGCAGATTGCCAGGCCTTTGTTCCACAGTACCACTAGGTGGGCTCTAACTACCGACCTTTAGGTTAGCAGTTATTGCAAACCACTTGCGCCACTCAGAGACCTATTACCAGGTTAGAGTGGGCCCCTAAATCTGATGGCTGTGGTTCTAAAAAGGAGAGAGAGATTTGGTGGCCCAGACATACACAGAGAGGAGACGGCCATGTGAGAAAGGCAGAAATTGGGGTAACGTGGCTACAAGTCAAAGAATACCAGGGATTGCCGGTAACCACCAGAAGCTATACCGTGGACTGCCAAAAGAGCTGACAAATCCGTCCTGGAAGAAGTACAACCAGAATGCTCCTTAGAAGCAAGGACGGCGAGACTACGTCTCACATACTTTGGACATATTATCAGGAGGGACCAGTCCCTGGAGAAGGACATCATGCTTGGTAAAGTAGAGGGTCGGTGAAAAAAAGGAAGACCCTCAATGAGATGGATTGACACAGTGGCTGCAACAATGGACTCAAGCATAACAATGGTTGTGAGGATTGCACAGGACCAGGCAGTGTTTCATTCTGTGGTACACAGGGTCACTAGAGTCGGAACCGACTCAATGGCATCTAACAACAACACCCAGAAACTCGGAAGAGACAAGGAAGGGTTCTTCCCTGGAGCCTTCAGAGTGAGCACAGTCCTGCCAACACCTTGATTTTGGACTTCTAGCCTCCGGAGCTGTGAGAGAATAAATTTCTGTTGTTTTACCCAGTTTGTGGTAATTTGCTAACGGCAGTTTTTGTTGCTAATATAGTAACAAAGAAGTACAAACATTGGAGCCACAAGATGGCAAATCCTAGCCATGGTCTCTGCCCTCTGGAGTGTTCAGTCTAGGGGACCAGAGATATGGTTACAAGCTATGGTCATTAATCCAGTGGAGGAGAAATCCGAAGGCTTCTCAGAGCAGGTGTTACCAAGCTGACACCTAGATGATGAATAGGAATTAATTAGGCTGATTCAGAATAGGAAGAGTTCCAGGCAGAGGGAACAGCATATGTGAGGTCCTGAGCTGGGAGGATTGGATGAAATGAAGGAAGTTTGAAATGGCTAGGAGAGAGAGAAGTGACTTCTATCAGTCAGGATGAGCTGGGGTATGCTGGGTAACAAATAATCCCCAAAGCTCAGCAGCTTAAAGCAACAGAGTTGATTTGGCACTCATGCTGTATGTCCACTCTAGGTTGGCAAGGGGCTCTGATCATTGTTGTCACTCAGGGACCCAGGCTGAGAGAGGCCATCTTGACATTCACCTCCTTGGATGTAGTAGCAGAGAACAGCAGCAAGGCACACACATGAACTCTTAAAAGGCTCTGTCCTCAAGTGGCACATGTCCCTTTGCTCACATGTCCTCGACAGAAGTGAATCATATGACTACGCCTGAGTTCAACAAGACTATGATATAGAATCTTCCAGTAGGAAGAGGCTGTCATGGGCCAGATCATGCCAGGGCTTGAAGCGACACTAAGGGAATTGAGGAATTTTAGAGTCATAAGCAGGAAAGGGGCAGAGTCAGATTGGGGCTTCAGAAAGACTCCCTGGGATGCCCAGGGGCCAGGGGACCAGATAGGGTGAGTCTGGAGATGGGAAGAAAGGTTGGGGCAGGGACCCCCAGCAGGGAGGCGATGGAGACCTGGGTCAGAATCTCTTTGCTTTTTGCTTTCCTCACCTGCCACTGGGTCTAGGAGTCCTCAGTGTAGAACCTTGTGGCCTACCCCTACCTCCACCCCTGTCATGGATTGAATTGTGTCGCCCCCAAAATATCTGTCAACTTGGCTAGGTCATGATTCCCAGTATTGTATGATTGTGTACCATTTTGTCATCTGATGTGATTTCCCTGTGTGTTGTAAATCCTATCACTATGATGTTAATGAGATGGATTATAGGCAGTTATACTGATGAGATCGACAAGATTAGATAGTGTCTTAAGCCAATCTCTTTTGAGATATAAAAGAGAGAAGTGAGCAGGGAGACATGGGGACCTCATACCACCAAGAAAGCAGCACTGGGAGCAGAGTGCGTCCTTTGGACCTGGGGTCCCTGCGCCTGAGTAGCTCCTTGACCGAAGGAAGACTGATGGCAAGGACCTTCCTCCAGAGTCAACAGGCAGAGAAAGCCTTCCCCTGGAACTGACACCCTGAATTTGGACTTCTAGCCCACTGGACTGTGAGAGAATAAACTTGTGTTTGTTGAAGCCATCCATTTGTGATATTTCTGTTATAGCAGCACTAGATGACTAAGACAATAATAGCAATACTCGCTGAGCACTTTATATACATGTCATCAGATCCTCATAAGAGCCCTATGTGTCCAGAACCATTAAAATCCTCATTTTAAAAATAAGTAAACTGAAGATCACAGAGAGAAAGCCATTTGCCCAGGCCTACGTAGCGGGAAGATGCTCCAGGGTAGTTCCTGAAATATGTGAGAAAGACAGAGCAGCTCGCGAGAGCCACAGCTTGTCTAAAACTAGTAACTGGGCCTTGGGGTTGCTAGGAGCTGACCTGAAAGCCACAGCTAGGTTACGATGTTCTGTTGAACATAAACTATGTCACGGAACACCAACATCAGACAAGGCTTCTCCATGACAG